TGTGAGATGCCCAAAGAACTGTGCCTCTTTGGAGAAGGTTGGCAGAGACCCCCCCCTCAAAGATCCGATGAAAATTAGTTTCCCCCTTCCCAACGGAAGGCTCAACCGCCTGCCCGGGAACACAACTTCGATGCAGCCTTAGCAGATCAGAAGCCTGGGGACCTGAGATAAGAAATCCTGCTCTAGGAAGTGCCTAAGATGATAGACAGTAGAGCTCTTACAAAACCAATACCAAGAAAACATGGAGACCCAGCAACCGCGTTGGCTCACAGGCTGCTTGGTTCGTGGCATCATTCGCCCCACCAAGGGCCTGTGTGCTCGCTTGGGCCCGGTGATAAACAAGGACAGGGGTCCTGCTGTCGTGAGGACGACAGCCTCGTGGGGAAGCTTGTCATTAATCACAGAAGCATGCTATTCAAGGAATAATTAAACACCGACCATGGATCTGTGAGAACCTGACCCCCACAGGGATTTAGGGCTTTGCCCTGAAGAAGTGAGGTCTGAGCTGAGACCTAGTAGATGACATAAATGGGCAAAGAGTAAAACAGCATGTGTTGCAGAAGTTAAGAAAGGCTGGCGTGGGTCTAGAGCAGAGAACTGGGAGATTATGAGAAATGCCACTACAGAAGGAGGCGGGGTCATATCCTTCAGGGTATTATAGGCCAGAGGCCTTCAAACATGTTTGACAGGACCCTCAATGAGGAAATAAGTTTCATGTAATAATACTTACGCTCATGATTGGCGTTGCAACCTGGCATTTCTATTCTATTGTATTCTGCTTTTTAAAATCACCAGTGGTGATCTACAACATTGTTTCTATGACCCACTCATGGCTCATGACCTACAGTGTGGAAAGAAATAGTATAAAACATATTGAGGATTTTCACCTTTCAACGGTAGTGCCACAATCACATTTGCTCTCTGTGCAGAAATGGGCAGATGGGAGTGGTCCAGAATGAATGAAGAAAAACATTTGCAATACTCCAGGTGAGGGATGGTAGCTCGGATGACAGCGGTGGTAGAGGTAGAGCCAGAGCACCTACTCAGGGCCAGGTGCCCTTACTTACATCTTACCTAATCTTATTTCCCCAGTGTGTCACGTGGGGAACTGAGGACAAGAGTATGTTGATGCTTGTCTAAGATGGCATAGCCAGCAAGTCCTGAGCCAGATTTGAGCCAGGTCTGTCTGGTTCCCAAGCGTGGCCTTTCATCTGAGTCACAGCAAATCTGTAAGGTGAACCTACAAAGCAGGAGACTGATTGTCAGAAGAACATATTTTGAAGCTTAAGAACAAATTACATACAGGCTTCAATTCCTGAAAATGTTGACTAGGTTTGGTTCCTAAAATGAAACTTAAATTTGTATCTTCATTTAAAAAACAAACAACAACAAAAAACAACACCACCAAAAAAAACAACAACACCCAGGCACATTTAATATGATGTCACAGAAGAGGCTAAACTTGGAGTTCCCTTTGATCTGGGGTTGATGAACTTGGCCATCTAGTACTTGTATCTCAGCCAAGTCATCTCATCCTTGTAGACCTTGGTCATGTCCTCTCTTGTGGATAATGCCTCTCCTAGGAAGCTGTGAGGATTCTAGATTTTATAGCATTTTTTTATATTTATATTATTATATGGGGTTATACATGTTCCCCAATGTCGATTCATGTTGTCAACTATAAAGAACTATATAAGCAACTATAAATCAATCCCTCTTCTCCCCGTGTTCTTTGTAAGTGCTTCTGTTATGGTACTGATAATGTTAAGGTATTAATAATTCCTGTGTCTGTCTTCTCTGCTAGATTATGTGCTCCTGGGGATAGGATGATATCTTCTTTGTCTCTAGATCCCAGTGGCTGCTATAGAGCCTGGATAATAGATGTCAAATGTGATGCTTATGTTATATTTTAACAAATACAGAAAATAAAATAAAATAAATTCTTGGTCTTTATAACTAAAGTATTTATATTGCTTTAATTCACTGTTTCTCAAACCTTCTGGATTCCTGTCCCACCCTTGGATAAGCATAAATGTCTCTGCCATTCATCCCGAACCCAGGGCACGTTCCAGTTTTCCCCCAGGCCCCTGACACATATACACGCAGAACATTTGCACATACCACAGGATGATTTTGTCTGCTTTATTACCTTTAGTTTATAGCACCAAGCAAAAGAGGTTCTTTTTGTTTGCTTGCCTTCCAAATATAAAATGATTGTAATATTGAACATAGTTTTGCAAATTACAAATGTCCTCACCCCAAGATTCCAGAACACACTACAGGGTAGGAGTGCCTTGATCTAATTTTAGTTTTTGCAGACTGCTCATTCCAGGGGAAGACTCTTTAGCTGCATCTTTATGTACCACACATAGTCCATTGATGGTTCACTGCTACCTCTTTCCTCCAGTCCCTTTTCTTTTCCACTCACTGTTCTCATGGGGCAGGAGGTTTCAAACCAGATCCTCTTGGGCCTCTTCGCTCATGTCCATGCCAATCGAATGTCTGTCAACAGCAAAGGCCTGAGGAGGAAAGTAATGGCCGATGTGGAATAAAATGATATTCTACTTGTACTTCTGCTGTTTGGTTTTTTCCATCTCAAGCTGTTTGAAAACATGAGCCAACGAAGTGCTTCTCCACCCCCACCCCCTCACTGCCTCAGTGCTCCGATGACCACTGCATCCCCTCCACCACCACCACCACCTGAGACCAAGCCACCTTCGCCTCGAACACCCAGGCTTTATTCTTTCATCTCTGCCAATCCACTTTCCAGCTGCAGTGACTTTCTAAAATAAATCTGATGATGTCATCCTACTCTTACAACCCTTCAATCACCTCCCATTCATTTGGGAGGGTGACTCTGCACCTGGTCCCCAGACCCCTCTCGAGCCTCATCTCCTGCCACTCCCACCGGGCCCTCTGTGCTCTCGCAGTTCCTCGAACGTGCGATGCTCTCTCTAGTCCCTGAGCCTTTGCACCATAAACTACTTCCCGTGGCCTGGAATTCTCACCGCACACTTTCATACCCTCACCTCTTTCATTTACTTTTAGGTTTTCGTTTTTTTCTTTTTACACAGTCCAGATAAGCATTAGTTCCTCAAGTCTCCTACCTTCCTAACAAGTGTGCCCTCATCCCTCGCCCCCTCCTGCCCTATGTGAGGTTAAAGGCCCCTTCTAATTGTGTTTATGAAACTAGCATTTCCCCTGTATCTAATTGCTACCTTTTCCCTTAGACGTAAACATAGTGTATTCAATACAGTGAGTAAATGAATGAATGAAAGAAAAAAACCTTTCTCTATGTAACTTCATTTGGAGTCTCAGGCTTTTATTCATTCATTTATTTTCAAAATGTGTGTTTTTTAAACAACATCCACCATGAGCTAGCCATTGTGATGAATGCCAGTTACTCAGGAGAAGCAAAGTTAAGCCTGGTGGCTGGCACTCATGGGCAACCTCTGTGAGCTGCTCCGCCTTAGACCGGGGAAGGCCCATGCTGGGAACTTGCACGCAGCCAGTGAGTTGGGTCACATTGACTTCACACGGTATCCG